GGGGGGGGGGGGGGGGGGGGGGGAGGGGGGGGGGGGGGGGGGGGGGGGGGGGGGGGCAGGGTGTGGTTGTGTGACAGTTACTAGAGAAAATAAAATTGGAAGTGAACTTAATAATTCATTAGGAATAATTACACTTTCTGACAACACATTTAAGCGCGTCATCTTGTTATAAATGACAGTTATTATTATCCATCCAAGTCTCCCATTCGTACATAACAGACTAACCACCTGCTCCCCTCCCACGGCTGCTTATTATTACGTGGTCGCCCTTGGCCGCGTACTCCTGATCACAGACTTTAAAAAGTCAATTTCAAGAAAGCCGTAAAATACGTCATATCCAGGAATTAGGGAAAAGCTAGAAATTTCTCGATTGCATCTTGGGTTTTCTGCCGGTTACACGTAATACATTTATCAGGGAAAACAAAAAGGGTCATTGGAAAACCCGGATTCTTCATTCTGCCCGCGCGTGCTGGTTGAAATAAATTGATCGGGGAAACCCCTAATTAAGGAGTCTACTTTATATAAGAATAATTTGGTAGTTGATTCATAACAGCAATGCCCAGCGTTAGCACGGGTTTTTTTTTAAACAGATAAGCACGTTGAATTTCTGTGTTAACAAAGGTAAGAGATCGTGATGTTTTTTTTTTGTGCGTGTTAGGTAAACTGAGCACTTGAAAATATGTTCATTTCGTTTCATTGAATTAATGTGTGTAATTCTCTCATACACAAACAAAACAGATTTATTTTTTAACAATACTTTAATGAAAATATATAGTCTGATCCAGTGGCGTAGCTAGGGTTGGTGTCACCCGGTGCGGGTAAACTCACGGTGTCACCCCACTCCCACTCCCGAACTTCAAGGTGGATTTCTTCTTGTTAAAATAAATACACAGTATGACAATGCCAAGAACACAAAAACAAATTACTAAATTTTCAGGATGTAAAAATGTATGTAATAACAGTATCAACGTTAATTTAATTTTTAAAGTCAATTTACTTTGTTTAAACTGTCTCCTTTTCTTTTGTCTTTAAAGCGGCAAATAGTTTAATCTCTTGATCAAAATTATTATCAGTACCGTATAACTTGGAATGGTTACATGTGTGGAACATTTATCAGTACCGTATAACTTGGACTGGTTACATGTGTGGAACATTTATCAGTACCGTATAACTTGGACTGGTTACATGTGTGGAACATTTGCGTGTTATCTGTTAGCCTTTAATAAAATTCAGTTAGACCGAGCAGTGTGTGTGTTCTGTAAATATGTTTGTTTTTTTTTTTTAAATTTTGTGTCACCCTTAAGAGATGGTGTAAACGGGTTCTGTCCGCTTCCGCCCACACCCCCTAGCTACGCCACTGGTCTGATCGTAACATGTAAATACTGCATACATGACAAACTATGTTTTGCGTACTGTACATTGAAAGATTTTATTTTAAATTGTATTTAAATATTGCGTTAGGAGAGCATTTATAAAAATACACCATTTCTTTTTTTCTTTCAGTACCAATATGAGTAACCCGACTGATATAGATGTACTTTTGATTGGAAAAACCGGAAACGGAAAGAGCGCGACGGGAAATTCTATTTTAAGAAACAAAGTGTTCAAAAGTGTGCCGAGCTCAACCTCCGTGACAAAAAGCGTCGAGTCCGACGTGACCGAATTCGACGGCCGGGTCATCAAGGTCGTCGATGGACCAGGTGTGGGAGACACCCGACTCAACAATGAAGAGTCCGTCAGGATGATGACGAACGCCATGAGCGGCGCCATAGCTGAGAACGCCAGAGGCTATCACGCCTTCCTGCTGGTGGTCAGGTACGGCGGGCGGTTCACCGCCGAGGACCAGGATACGATCGTGTTTCTGAAAAAACTGTTTGGGGAGAATTTCGTGAAAAGTTTTTGCATCCTGGTCATGACTTGCGGGGACGTCTTTGAGGAGGACGGCCTCGAGATGAAGAAGACGTTCAAGGAGTGGTGTCGCGACCAGGAGGGAGTGCTGCAAGATCTGTTACGCGAATGCGACTACAGGGCGATGATCTTTGACAACAGAACGAAAGATGAGGGTAAAAAGAGGAAACAGCTGACCGAGCTCATACAAATGATCGACAACCTGAGGTCACAAGGTCACCGATACACCGATGACCACTTCCGTCGGGCCAAGAACACCCGGGACCGTTTAGTGATCGAGGCCCAGGTTCCTGTGATTCGCGAGGAGACGATGAATGAAGCAAGTCTTATCCTACAGAAACTCCAAGCCATCCAATCGCAGTTTGAGCCCGAACATAGAATTGAGAATTTGGAGAAATTGCTGATCAGATCTGATGGGCTGTTAAAAAGTATTACTGAAAAAGATAAAGGGACTGGGACCCTCCATGTTTTATCTCAAACGGTCCATTCTATTCACAATACAATTTTGGATGAAATCAAATTTTCAAAGAACGTAAAGGAGAAAAACGAACGAATGAAGAAGGAAGAGGAGGAAAGAATGAAGATCTTTCAAGAGGAGATGGACAAGCAGAAAGCTGCTTATGAGAAATTGATTCAAGAAGGAAAACTTGATGACCAGCGTAGAAAAGAAATGCAGCTTGAGCAGGAGAGGATGCGACAATCGCTAGATGAGCAGAGAAAGAAAGATCTCGACGCCAGGGAAAGACAGTTACAGTTACAGAATGAGGAGCTTCGAAGGATGAGAGAAGAGAGTGACAGTCTCAGGAACAATTTCTACGAAGTCAAACAACAAGAGAGTCAAAGCTTCGGTTTCTTAGATTTTATTACACTCATTGCTAAGCCCATCTTAAAACTATTTGGATTCTAAACGTGGAATAGATTTTTTTTTTTTTTTTTTTGTTTTTTTTTTTTTTTTTTTTTTGGCTTTTTTTTTTTGTTTTTTTTTACCGCAGGCAACAGCTGTGACTTACGTTTCACAAGCATTTCTGTATCAGTAAATTACAAACACTCAAATGCGGTTAGGGAACAAAGAAAATTGTCTTTAGATTGACTCGAAATAAAAACATTGCTCATTAAAAAAATATTTGCGAATCAGTTTGAAATTATGAAAATATTTTTTTTTTTTTTAAATTAGCTTTTGACATGTTTGATCTGTTAATGACCTTGAACTTTTTAAAAAATACTTTTTTTATATAATATAATTAAAAATTGCCTTATTATAATTAAATTGTTACTTGGTTCTTTGTAATGTTATGATTTTTTTCTTTTTGCCCTTTATTTTGGTATATCTGACGCTGAACAAGCTGGTCTAAATAACTCTTAGTTATGTCACACACACAAAGCTAATTTTAAAAATATAATTGCCATAAACCGTCCTTAGATGCTTTTATTTTATTTCTTTTTAAATTTAAATCTTGCTCTTGTGCTGAAACAGCTTTGAACACTCTCATTTCATACACAAGGTTTTATTTAAATTGTTATATACTGTAGCGACTCCAGTAATAAAAAAAACTTAAAAAACCAACCCCCTTTTTGTTTAACCCCCCCCCCCCCTTTTTTTTTCCTCCTTGAAATAACCGGAAATGACGCCATAAGGTGAGATGATTGGATGACAGTTCCAACGTGATTAGCGCTGGTGAATAAGTGAATAATTAAGAAAAACTGCAATTGAGGTTGAAAATTTCTAAGGAATGGATCTACACTGTGCATCCGTTTACAAAGTCTACTAAGCCCGACCACACAACGACTAAAGACAGTTGGCTTAGCGGAGGAACAATGCTAGGAAGGAAACATCTCTATGTCCAAACACACTGCAGGGCTAGCAACCTCTCAAGCTCTCGCCTCCTCTCATTTCTTTCCCTTCATGGTTCAACACTCCGGTATCTCTTCCACTCTCAGTATAAACACCACTCATTTCCACTCTCAGTATTAACACCACTCATTTCCACTCTCAGTATAAACACCACTCATTTGAGGACAACCCAAACACCGCCAACCAATGCGCTAATGAATCCTGGGGTGAAATTATAAACTTTGACCAGGGGATCTGTTGCTTACGCCAGTTCACAAAAGAAACTTCCCCTCCCCCCCCCCTTTTTTTTAAAAATGATGTCGCCTTTTAAACAAAGTAGCGATAGAAGTTTGAAAATGTTAATGTGATGTATCCAGTGAATAAACATTTTACGCAAGACTTGTTAGCTGAGAGTGTTTTGTCATTAGTTTAATATTTATAACGTTGCTCGTCTGGGGAACAGAATGACGGGGTCAGCAACATTTCTTTCTTTTCTTTTTCTTTTTTTTTTCTTTCCTTTTCTAAAAAAATTATATTAAATTTTATTTTCTAATAAAAAAAAATTCAGCCCCAGACAGCAGTTTATTGTTTAATTCGTGTTATAAAAATGTAAAATATAACAAGGAGTGGGGGCATTTATTTCTTGAATCAGGGATAATTAAGTTACTGACCGATGCCCTGGTATTTCGGTTATTAAAATTGTATATCTCAAATTAACCTTAAAAAACAATAACAAAAAAATAACAACATTTATTTCACACTTTGTTGCAAAATGAACTTATCTTTAATTTCAATGTAGTGCTCAATGCTCTCTACACTACATTTTTTTCCACAGATACAAATAATTTTAAAAGAAATTACGCGTGACCCTGTTGCCACAATAATATTTATCAATGTTTACTTGCACCAAGGGGCATGCCGCAGGACATTTTAGCAAATAGTATATTTAAACGAAGCAAATTATTTCTTCAGGGTACTGGGCATAGTGCCATAACCTGTGAATGCCTTCTACCCAATTTTTTTAATGAAATCAATAACACTATTGACGAATACGATTATTTTTGTTTGGTATACACTTACACTCTTGATTAAATTTTCTTTTCTATTCACCGGGTACTTGCTGACCCCCTTCAACTTATAAAGCTAAGCTTTCAATGCGAACACCAAACTTTGTCAAATGAGCTTTATTTACTAACCTGTTTATTGAAAGACAGTTTACTGATGTGTTTCGAGCTTGGTAACGCGCTACTATTGATTTGTATTGAAAGTGGTTTGTTTCTCTCTATTGACGTGGGCATGGTCTGTTAGTTATTAAAATTTAACACATATCTAGTATTATTCTCACAATACTATTAGCTTTGAAGCTTTTTTTTTTCCTTTTCACAATTTGTTTCTTATTTTCCATTCATGAGTAGAAACCATTGACCATGATCGACCTAAATGAACCCAGCCTTTAACAGACGGACACTGAGATTGTGTAAACCTTGCATCTTTTTTAGATCAAGTTAAAACCGTGATTTTAAGCTAACTCAGAAACAATATTACAATCGAGATATTAACAGGGCAATCAAATTTAAAATGATATATTATGCGATAACAATAATGTTTTATCCTCCATGCGTTGTAATTATGTCCAGCATTGATATAATTATTTGTTCATGGGATAACATACGTATTTCTCCCTCCAGAGTAGGTTAAAAAGAGGGCTCCTTAATGCTTTTAAACAGGGGGCCGGTCAACTGTTTATCAGACCCTATAGTGAGCTAACCGTTTAAAAAAGAATACATATTTGCAAATTTGAGAATACTGTACACACTTCACATATCTTATTTGTGTGACCATCCACCCCCCCCCCCACACGCAAAAATACCCACAGGCATACAAAAAAACAGAAACACAGAAATCTATACACACAGACAAAGACACACACACAGACACACACAAACACACACAGACACAAAGAAACGCACAGACACAAATAGACACAGACACAAACAGACACACACAGACATACACATATACACATATACACACACACACACATACACACATACACACAAAGACAAACACAGAAATACACAGACCCACACACACAGACATATACATACACACACATACATATACATACAAACACATACACACACATACACAGACATACACAGACACACACAGACACACACAGAAAAATACAGACACACAGAAACATACACAGACACACACATACACACATATACATACACACACATAGATATACATACACACACATACACACACATACACATGACAGACATAGACACTAGACAATTATACACACACCAAGAAGGGAGAAAAAGAAGATCTCAAACTTGAAGAAATTATTAAATATTTTAACATGGAAACCAGATGAGAGTATGTGCCTCTTTCTGGATAACGAAATGCTCAATGTTAGGTCCCATAGTATCCCTTATATCCAGGCATCCTTACTTTGAGGACGCATTATGATGTATTGAGCCCTGTATGGCAGGAAATGACCCGTCGCCTTAGATTGAGGATCACTATTTTAAAGGGTTACAAAAATTGTGTTTGATTATTAACCTTTTTTTTCACAATAATCAATTCATTTATACTTATATTTTATGTGCTACCTTTTATTCTAAGACTTTCAATAATTAAAAACACCGTTTCATACACACACAAAGCTATACAAATAATACAATACTTTACCCCCACCCCACCCCCCGCCCCCAAGTCCCCTAGTTAGTAACCATAGACACTGATAATAAAATGCGGAGTTGTATAGTCTGTATAAATTATAGCAGACTTATTTGGGTTATGGAAAAAATAATTTCAGAGGCCATCAAAAAGACAAAACGTTGCGCTACGATCATTCCATTTTTTTTTTTTTTTTTTTTTACCTGTCAATTTACACACTTGTTTTAGTTGAAACGACATAGAGAATATCAAAGACAAAAAAAAAAGTCCTTCAACAATCATTTCTTTCTTTTCTTTCTTTCTTTGTTTCTTTCTTTGTTTCTTTCTTTCTTTTCTTTCTTTCTTTTCTTTCTTTCTTTTCGTTCTTTCTTTGTTTCTTTTCTTTCTTTCTTTCTTTCTTTCTTTCTTTTCTTTCTTTCTTTTCGTTCTTTCTTTGTTTCTTTTCTTTCTTTCTTTATTTCTTTCTTTCTTTTCTTTCTTTCTTTCTTTGTTTCTTTTCTTTCTTTCTTTCTTTCTTTCTTTCTTTCTTTCTTTGTTTCTTTTCTTTCTTTCTTTCTTTCTTTCTTTCTTTCTTTTCTTTCTTTCTTTCTTTCTTTTCTTTCTTTCTTTCTTTCTTTTCTTTCTTTCTTTCTTTGTTTCTTTTCTTTCTTTCTTTCTTTGTTTCTTTCTTTTCTTTCTTTCATTCTTTCTTTTCTTTATTTCTTTCTTTGTTTCTTTTCTTTCTTTCATTCATTCTTTTCTTTCTTTCTTTGTTTCTTTCTTTCTTTCTTTTCTTTCTTTCTTTCTTTGTTTCTTTTCTTTCTTTCTTTCTTTCTTTCGTGGTTTCTTTCTTTCTTTTCTTTCTTTCTTTCTTTCTTCTTTTTTTTTTGCCTAAAGGCCCAACCTTACTTCCGGGTACCTGTGATTTAATACACAATATGTCGTCTATAGTGTTGGGTTCAATTCAATCTAAATAGAAACACTGAGTCCAAAATGAACCGTCGGGCCGAGACCGAGCACTGTGAGGTCGAAGCTCAGAATCACTTGCTCGATGGTGTCACATGGGATCTTGCCTATTCGTGGCGTGACGGACCAGTAGGGAGGTTTCCTCCTAAAGCTAAAAAATCCCGGCCAAACGCATGACTTCCAACGCAACGAACTACTCCCTGGACGGTGGGGAGAGGTAACGCAACACCTTCCCCCGGAGAGGAAGCAAAGCTGTTCCGACCCATAGACCGAACAACTCCCTAAACGATGGGAAGAGGTTACGCCCAAGACCTCCCCCGAAGAGGAAGAAAAACCGATTCTCACTAGACCGTACAACTCCCTAAGCGGTGGGAGAGGTAACGCATTACCTTCTCCGGAGAGGAAGCATAGCCGTTCAACCTAACGTCCCGTCCGAATGACTCAATGGGCAAAGGGGGAGACAACGCAAAGTCTCCTCCTCAATGAGTGGAAGCTATCTGCCCAAAATCCCTACTCGCGACCGTGCTCCATGGCCGGAGTCCTTTAGGGACTACTAGGCCATGTGTCATGGCCGGGGTCCTATGAGATTGAATCTCGACCCAAAGAGCAGTGCACTTTATTAGTCCAAGTTTTTAGAAAATCGGGAAAATATTTTTTTTCTGTAATGATCTATCTTTAGTTGCAAAATTTAAAAAAACAACAACAACATAAATATTGTCTATTTTTTTTAAAACTGTGACTAGTGGTCTTTAAAAAAAAATGATTTATTACTACACAATTCCCGAGGAAGCACCAAGAGCAGAAGTCATTGCAAGCCGTTCACGCCCATTCCCGTAGCTGGTGGTTTGATTGAGTAGGCCAAGGCTGTTTACCTTGCCATCTCGTAATTCCCGAGGAATCTATTCTAGGACACTTCAATCAGGCAATGGCGTGAACATTTTTTTTAAAGGGAATGCATGGAACGCCGTTCAGTTCATTTTACTTTCTTTTTTCTTCTTCTTTAAGCGACGCCATGTCCTTATCAGCAGCTAAGTATAGTCTTAAGCCCGTTATCTCTGTGTAGAAAGTGTCCCAAAGATTTACCCTATCTATCAGTCTTTGATTTTTTCACCACAGCAAACCTGGTCCTAGACACTTGCACCTGACGTGGTTAAGGTGGTTTAAAATACTAATAATAATTTGTAAAAAATTTCCCTTCTCAGTTCGTGTGGTGCTTCCATTGACGTCAATTGAATATATATAAAACACGTGGGGTGGCCAAGACATGTAGTTGTAGACAGGGGTGGCCAAGACATGTGGTGGTGGACTGGGGTGGTTAAGCCATGTAGTGGTGGATTGGAGTGGCCAAGCCATGCAATGGTGGAGTGGATCGGACAAGCCATGTAATGATGGACTGGCGTGGCCAAGCCATGTAGTGGTGGAGTGCAGTCGCCAAGCCATGTAGTGGTGGACTGGAGTGGACAAGCCATGTAATGGTGGACTGGAGTGGCAAAGCCATGAAGTGGTGGACTGGAGTGGCCTAGCCATGAAGGGGTGGACTGGAGTGGCAGAGCCATGAAGTGGTGAACTGGAGTGACCAAGTCATGAAGGGGTGGACTGGAGTGGCAAAGCCATGAAGTGGTGGACTCGATGTGGTGTAGCCATGAATGGTTGGACTGGCGTCGCCAATCCATGCAGTGTTGGAGTGGAGTGGCCAAGCCATGTAGTGGTTGACTGGAGTGGCCAAGCCATAAAGTGGTGGACTGGAGTGGCCAAGCCATGCAGTGTTTGGCCGGGGTGGCCAATTCATGAAGTGGTGGACTGGAGTGGCCAAGCCATGAAGTGTTGGACTGGAGTGGCTTAGTCATGCGGTGGTGGACTGTGGTGGTCAGGCCATGCAGTGGCGGACAGGAGTGGCTAAGCGCCCCGAGACAAAATTAAAAAGTGGCCCTATCTGACTTTTTTTCCTTGGGCTTTCTTGGTGCAGTCGAATTTTGTTAGTCTCAGGTCACAGATAAACTTAAAATAAGACTGTCATAATACAACAAAACTAATATAAACAATGTAATAAACTTTCAGACTTAAGTATTAATAAAAAGTGGAGATTTCTGAATCGATTGATCACGGGACAAATAATTATTGTAGAAGCAATGTTGGCCTACACATCATTAATTGTTAAGTTGTCGTTTGCGTACTTGTAAATAAAACACTTACTGTACAGTCAGATCGACGATTAATTCACAGGAGTTCGTTTTCAATATCCTTATTTTATTTTGTAATATTATTCATCTTAAAAAGATGTTTTATTTTCAAACTCGACAACTGTTCCATTTTTATTTTCTTTCCTTTTAGTGTTCAAATAGAACTTTAATTTCATACATGATTGTGTGTTGTTTTCAAATACCTTTATTTGCCGAGCATGTATGGTTTAATGTTTACCTTGACAAGATATGACGGCCTTTAAGCAATACACTCTTCCTGCGGCTCTCAATTAGCAGATCTACTCTGTAACATGGTGGTTTACTCAAAGAAACTTACTGACCCTGACCTAGACGCTTCAGATTCTATCGCACATTGGAGGGTTATTAATTGGATCTGTGACTTTAAAAAAATTATTGAGCATGCATTTTAAGTTGAGATTAAATTATCAAGCATTACTGTAATGCAGAAGCGGCCAAGAATATCAAATCCCACTGCGGGAAGTGACCCAGACTACCCGAAAATCAGTGGCAGAAGAGACACTGGCTGCCTTAATATAACTTACATAAGCGACCCAGGCGGTCAAGTAGAACCGACAGAAGCATCCCTAATGTCATCGACGGAGGGGATCTGGCGGCTGAAATATCACCCAGCCCACCACTGCTTACACATCACGATAGTTATAACAAGGTGTAAGAATTAGACGATGCGACTTCAAACACAAATCTTTATTTTCATTTCAGAAATGAATTATTGACATTTTAGAGTATCAAGTTATTTTTCTCAACGCACACACACACACACACACACACATAGGGCTTTGACACGTGGCCCCGACTCGGAACAAATTTGGCACTAACTCGGCAAAAACTTGCGGCAAAAACTTGGCACTAACTCGGCAAAAACTTGGCACAAACTTGGCACAAAATATTATGTTCTCGAAACATTATATACGTTGGCATAAGTCACCTGAAAATACAAAATGTTTGTACACATTTTTACAAATATAACTATCGCTCATGCTTTGCTCTTTTGCTTCAATCTCACTTTTGAAAATGTCATAAAACATAACTTAAAAACAAAAAAGCAAGCATAAATATGTTATTCTTATAAATTCTCAAACATTTTTTTTTCAAATGCTGGGTTATTGAGACAGCACATGTTTATAAGGAGAACATGGTAACATGAGGTTGTTATTCACATACAGATAACTTCAAGGATTGGTTTCCCCTTAAATAGATTCTTGGTAAAAAGTCAAAAAATGTTTAAATAGTATTCAAAATTGTGTTGTCGTATGTAAATTCACATTTATATTGCAAAATATAAGAAAATCTGAATGTGTAGAGATGCATGTTAAGTGAAAAAAAATAAATAAGGACAATGCAAATCATAATTTTTTTTTCTGATTAGAAGAAAAATATTTTTTTTACATTACACAACTCAATGGAAAATACGAATCAGCCAGCAGTGAGTTCTATTAAATTAGAATGACATTTTTTTTTTAAAAAATCAATAAAAACAGTGAACGGATTGTATATTTCAATAATGATTTCTTACATTAAAAAAAAATAAAATGTAAAAAAAAATGATAAAACTGTAGATTTACATGATGATTATGTAAAGATAAAAATCAGGATTAAATCTAAAGTGATCATCAACATCGCCAAACTAGGATTAAATTGCATTCCGATTCACAGAAACAAAAATGCAGTCGTCGATATAATACAAACAAACAAAAAGTTCTTTTCAGATGACTTGTTAAAATGTTATAGGCACCGATATTTTTTTTTTAAATGTATTTATATTACATGTGTACGTAATTATTTCAGTTAGTTAAAAGAGTGGATAAAAAAAATGATTATATGGGTTACAGCATAGCTATATAAAATAAAAGAGGTATTTTAAGGCCCTGATCAAAAACTATTAAAAAAATGAAAAAATAAATCCTTCAAAAAGAACTGTCGTTGAATCCGTCTAAAAGTGCTCGATAAGAAAAAGAAAACTCATCCAACAGAAATCTAGAACAAAATTTTTTTATTGTTTGGACTAGAGATCCATGATCAATACTTTTCTGTGTTTACCCTTGACATATAGGTTTTGTGAATGAAACAAATTTTAAAAAAATGTGTACATTCATTTACTATTGAAAAAAAAAAAAAAAAAATAAAAATCAAATATAACTTAAAACATTTTTTTTTTTTTTTTTAATTTTTTTTTTTTTTTGTAGCTTAACTTTCACCACGCCCTAATGCCATTAACAATGTAAGGTCCTTAACGCTGTGAATATGTTTCAAATCAAGTTCGTGTGATCGTACAACGACAAGAAAAATGTCCCCAAATGATTTTGTGTCTGGAACGAAAATGTGAAAATTAATAACATCAGATAATCAACTACAGGACCTTTGAAAGAAAAATCAGAAATGTTAAAAACAAAATGTCCAAATGTCTGGCCCATCGTTAAGTAAATCGTTGGTTTCCTGTGTTTAGGGGTTAAGGTGTCAGACATGTTCATTATCATGTCAGGAAACAAACACCTCTGCAACTTGAAAACCTTTTTTTTTTTCCTTTCTCTTAAACCTTGTGGATCAGAAAAAGTGCATCATTCTATGGACGTCTGGGTTTTCGTTTCGCTGCGCCATCTTCGTCATCATCCTTCTGAAAAATCCCCATGACCAATGGCAGCACATGGTCCACGAGAGCTCGACCAATCATGCCGAGGATTGCAATTGTGTTGTCTTCCTTCGCGCTTCTGTATTCGTCTTCCAGGTTTTGGGCTCTATTTCTTAACGCGACCTGGGACCTCATCATCTGCTGCATCTCTTCTTCATTCTTCTCGCGCTCCTCCTCCATCAAGGCGATCCGTTCTTCGAGTTCCTTTCTCTGCTCCTCGTCCAAAGCCCTTTGTTTCTCTTCTCTTTCCACTCGGAGTCTCTCGATCTTCTGCTTCTGTTTTTCCTGTCTCTGCTTAATCTCAATGGCGCTATGGGCATTGGTCAGCTGGTCAGTCACGCACGTCTTGATGTTTTCAACATTTTTAATGACAGAATTCAAAGCCCCGGTACTTTTGTCCTCATTCATTATGCTCGTGCGGACAGCCTCTATGCGTTCTTTCATTTCTTCCAACTGAGGGATCTGTTTTTCCGGCTCTTCCATCTGCACCTGGCCCAGCTGTTGAAGAATCAAGCTCGTCTCTCTGAAACTCTCTTCGCGTATCATCGGCACTCTTGCGTCGACCAGAAGTCTGTCTCGCTGCTTCTGCGCCAACTGAAATTGCTTTCCACTGTACCTCAACCCAAGAGCACTAAGGCCGTCGACCAGGCTAAGCAAGCGGTTGTGTTGTTCAGTTAACTTAGCCTCGTTCTTGGTTCTGTTATCAAACAAAATGACGCGATTGTTGCATTCTACAACCAGTTCTTTGAAAACGCCGCTCTGAAAACGACACCAATCTTCGAACAGGTCGTAGCCTGTCTCTTCAGGGTCGTAATTGTCTCCGCAGGTCACTACTAAGATACAATATTTGCTGACGAAGTCGTCACCGAAGACACCCTTGAGCAGCTTGATGGTCTGGCTGTCCTCTTTTGTAAACCTGCCGCCGAACCTGACGACAAGGAGGAACGCGTGGTACCCGTCTGGGTTGGCCGCAATCGCCTGCTGGACGGTGTCTATCACCAGTTTGAGAGCGTCCTCTTCGTTCATGTCAGTGTCACCGACGCCTGGACCATCGACGACCTTAATCACCCGGCCGTGAACTTTTGAGTATTCTGACTGCGTCTTTTTGGTCACGGAGGTTGCGTTGGGGACACACTTGAAAGCCTTTCTCCGCAGAATTGTGTTTCCTGTGGCACTTTTCCCATTTCCGGTTTTACCAATAAGGAGGAGGTCAAGGTCGCCGCGTGATACGGGAGCTGAAGACATGCTGTGTGAAGGATAAAGATAGTTAAACTTTCAAATTGTTCACAGTTTTCAAATTCATTCTAATGAGTTTAATAATAAATGTTGATACGAATTTAAATTATGCTCTAAAAGGATCTATGTTTAAACTCACTTTCCATCTATGATTTCGTTTAATTCCAAATATAACTTCGACATACCCTAAATAAAGTTATTTACAGCTGAATTAAAACCCCATAAAATCATTATCTTAAATATTATGTTTTGTTTGTTTAAAAAGAAAGAAAAAAACATATGGTAATTCTTTTTTTTTCCTTGTGATCCGACACAGCATTTGTCACCATAGCTCACTGGCTTAAAAGAATCCCAAGAATGAACATGTAGTACAGGCCCAACATTTATTTCCAGCTCCATTTTTTTTTCTAATATAATTAACAAAAACGAATAAGTTTACAGAATTAACACTAGTGTGGATAAAATGTTGGCAGAAGTATGTGATGAAACCATCAAAAAGCATAAAAAAGCCAGGGATCAGATAAATGTAGCACTAAAATAAGTTTCGATGGGACCAAATGATTTTCTTCGATTACAAAAATTATTTCGCATTAAAAGATTTTCAAAATAGAGTGTGATCTGAAGGCTTTGATGAATTGAATTAATATTTAAATTATATTCATCATCTATTTAAGAAGTTATCAACCCCCCCCCCCAACCCTTATATATATATATATGCTAACTGTCACGAAATCGTGTTTTTTTTCAGCGATGTAATGATAATAAGTTTTCACTGCGATAAGAACAAAGAAGTTATCAACCCCCCCCCAACCCTTATATATATATATATGCTAACTGTCACGAAATCGTGTTTTTTTTCAGCGATGTAATGATAATAAGTTTTCACTGCGATAAGAACATAGATCAGCGTTTATCAATCTCTTTCATCAGTTCCCCTAAACACTGTTAGGGGCCGTTGTGAAAGAAATGAACGAATACACGTTGCTTATCAGTTGTGAAAACCAAAAATAAAGAATACTAACAAAACAAAACGCCATTTAAAATAGAGAATGCTTTTACTAAACATACAGTTATTACTATTTCTTTTGGAACTATGGTCTCACTTTAGGCTAAATATATGGTTCTACGTCCGAGTCTATATTTGTTCACTGTTACTCAGGCCTACGTACGACGGCCAACAAGGCTGGGTTAAGGATATGATGCTCGGGCTAAACTGTAAGGATCCCTTCTTTATAATATTTAATAGTATGCGCCTGCAATTAAAAAGAAAATCCCTTGTTTCGTCTAATCAAAGAATTTTCTTTTAAAGTAACAAAGACTTTATCTAACTAAAGTGGGCTTATCTCCATTATATTTTTTGATCGTGTCAGATTGGTTAAGAAGAAAAAGAGCAGCGACACAGGGACGCGTTTCCTGACAACTAATTAGTTGAAAAGACCCCAAAATATTTTTTAGAGATCAGCAGCACTTCCATCAACATCCATTAGTCTGAGCCCTCGAGTGATACACCGTATCCTTTAAAGTCTGACTAATTTTCTGCGAATGTGATTGAATCAAGTATTGTAAGACACCTTAACCTTGACACCTCAATTATTATAACAAATGCATCTATCGCTAACGAATCGCTCATTTTAAAGCCCGCATTCCTAAAAAGACTCACTGTTCTAGCTATCGTGTGGGTCTTGGCAACCCCTGGGGCTACAGGGTGTCTCATAGTCAGAGCCATCAAGTGGGACTTGCAGCCCCTGGGGCTACCGGGTGTCTTCTAGTCAGAGCCGTCAAGTGGGACTTGCAGCCCCTGGGGCTACAGGGTGTCTTCTAGTCAGAGCCGTCAAGTGGGACTTACAGCCCCTGGGGCTACCGGGTGTCTTCCAGTCAGAGCCGTCAAGTGGGACTTGCAGCCCCTGGGGCTACCGGGTGCCTTCTAGTCAGAGCCGTCAAATGGGACTTGCAGCCCCTGGAGCTACCGGGTGTCTTCTAGTCAGAGCCGTCAAGTGGGACTTGCAGCCCCTGGGGCTACAGGGTGTCTTCTAGTCAGAGCCGTCAAGTGGGACTTGCAGCCCCTGGGGCTACCGGGTGTCTTCTAGTCAGAGCCGTCAAGTGGGACTTGCAGCCCCTGGGGCTACCGGGTGTCTTCTAGTCAGAGCCGTCAAGTGGGACTTGCAGCCCCTGGGGCTACCGGGTGTCTTCTAGTCAGAGCCGTCAAGTGGGACTTGCAGCCCCTGGGGCTGCAGGATGACTCATAGTTAAAGCAGTCGTTTGAGTCTTACAACCCCTGGGTATGCAGGGTGCCTCCGACTTTTAATGGACCCAAAGAGATTTTGAAAATAATTTCTATTGCTGATACAATAAAATCAAAATTTTTCGAGTACTGAATTTATAAATGAATCTACAAGGTTGGCTGCCTATTAATCGGGGTTTCCACGATGGGTCGCTCGCATCCCGGGGGGTGGGGGGTGTGGGGTGCATGAAGACTTTTCAGGGGGTTCGAGGAAAGGCGATTTTTTAAAAAAAAGACAAGACATTAGTTGTTTTTTTACAATTATAAAAGGGTTTATATATTTGTAATCTCGACTTCTTTACGACTCCCCTCTATTTAAAAAGTATAGTATCATTAAATAAATAAATTTGAAGCTCATTATTTAAAATTACACTGTTACTTATAGGGGGGGGGGAGGAAGGAAAAATAGTTAAAAATATGTAAGGGGGTGGTGTACGACCAGTGAAATAATTTGTAGAGGGTTCAAGACTAATCAAACAATTCTTAGGTTTTGCGAGAATAATCAAATAATTCCTAGAGGGTTCGAAACTTATCTGACAATCTATAGGCAATATGTAGTATAGAATAGGTTGGGACACATTGCTCTTAATAAGTTAAAAGAAAATTCCTACCTCTTCCAGCATACCCTAAAGTAACTCGTGTCACAAAGTAAAAGAAACACTGTAGACTTATTCAACAATAAAATACATATATTATTAAACTAATGTTGACACCCTATAAAAGTTATTTACATTAAACTTACTTTGTCTGTCCTGTTCAAGCGAAGGGTGGACCCTGGACTAACAAAGATGATAGGACTCTGCGGGGCGGGTTACGCCAGTCAACGGGGAACTCCCGTTTACAGCGTCGACGTTTTCCCAGAAAAAGATAACTCACTGCGTCTCCTGGGAAATTTTGCTTTCCAAGCGTGTAAAACTAAAAGCGGGGAAACCCGCCTTGTTCAGCGCTAGACGTTGTAGAACACGCAAAACCTTAATCAAGATTCAACACGACCTACAATTTCCCTACAAAACTAGCAACGTTTTCGATTAACATAAATTCCCGCAATTACTCTTCTAAGATTTCATTTATCGATGTGGGTACAAGTAACACGGTGCCTGAAGATATTTATGTCGTTACACACTTGAATGTAAGTTGTTATTTACGTTTAGCAATTAGAGCTTCACTTTTGTTGAATATCCGATGCTATAACTTTTGTATTAACCAACTGATATAATCTAATTAAACTAATTCTTGTTTTTTTTTTACAAAATGTAGTAACGCTTTTATTTTAACAAACACACAGCACCAATTTTTGTTTGTCCGTATCAGAAAAGGCAGATTTTTGTGATGTCCTGGCTTACTTACCAAATTAGTAAAATATTTTAACAAGACATATGCCTACTGGCAGTGTTTCTTTCAGAAATTTTCGCCCGGGGGAGCACTTCAGATTTTCGGGGGGGGGAGTGCCAGCAGTTCCAGTTGATTTATTGTTTGACATATTTTTGCTCCGGGGGGGCACTTGGTTTTCCCCGGAGTGGGGGCACTGCCCCCAGGAGATATAGCTGAAAGAAACCCTGCCTACAGGATGAAGAAGATATTGCAGATTAATATTTTTTTCTTTGATGGAATAAATTGATGATTACAAGAAGAATCCTTTATTATTCTAAGCTTTTGTCTCCAACAAAAAAATCCAATTTCAAGAATTCTTAGTTATAAATAGATTGTTCTAATTAATTGGTGGGGACGACACTAAAGTTAATGTTCTTCCCATCCACATTGTGTCGTAAGTTATGACAGATTCATGATCTAATATTACATTTTTTAAAATATATAAACACTGAAAGGCGACCACTGGTCGTGGCTCTTTTATTTAAGCCAGGGTTTCTCAACGTGGAGCATGTGACTCACAGGGATCAACAAAGTCTTAGGGGGGCTATGCAGATGACAACTTTGAAAAAAAATGACTTATAGGTAGATAAAAGTATCATTAAAGGTTGTTACGGAGCTACACGCATTTAAAAAAAGATATGTCCACTGACAAAAACAGTTGACATACGCTGTTGGCCACATAAAGCTCTTACACATTTAATACAAACAACAATGTGTCTGTGTGTTGGAGAAGAAAAGGGTGGAAAAGAGGGGAGTAGCTATTTTCGTATAGCTTTCCATGGATATCAGTGTAGAGTTTAGAGTTAAATGGGTTAGTATTTTTTTCAAGGACTAAGATTCACTTTTTTGTTAGATGAAGCAAGTCGCTGTGTTTAGCTGAAGCTTTAAAAATGAGGTAACTATAGAGTGTTAGCGACTAATGAGAAACTGTCGTGACAGAAACTATGATAAAAGGGTTATCATTTCATCTGATTCACACTAAGTCAACTAACACACGATGCGTGCCTGCCAACGCCTGGTGTGTGGGTCACGATGTGCTGCACGTAGGTCACAGCACGCGATACACTGACAAGTTAGAAAATAACACACACAACTCAAGAATGCAGTAAATCATGCCGATGTCAAGGATTCGCAAAGAGATTGTATCGAGGTTTAGTGAATCGGAATCTAGGCCTACATTTCACGCATACACATCAAAAACTTGCTTATCAACATTGCTTCGCTTCTTATTGAAGTAACACAACATAGTGTTGTGTGCTGTGGATACTCAAAGTATCATTCTAGGTATTTGGTACACAGCTGTGACATTAGGGCAGGATTAGTTGTCCATTGACAGTTGAATGCAATGCTTGGGATAGAAACTTTTATTTTGTATCTGTTAATCCATAATTCCTAATCAGGCAGAAAATTTAAATAAAAATTTAAACATTATTGGTCCACTTCTTAACGTGATGATTATAATAATAATAATAATAATAATAATAATAAGTGGTCTTATATAGCGCGGTACCCCAGCCTAGGGCTGGGCTCACCGCGCTGTCAATATTTAAAGAAATATTCGAATGTTATATAAAAATATTAAATTTGGATTAAATGCAATTCTTTAGAAGGACCTTTTTCTTTTTGCACTTAAGCCACATTTTTAAAAGGTATTTTAATATATGAATTTATTTGTTCATTTTTCAGGTTGTAGAACACTTCTAAAATGAGTCACGACATGCAAAGTGCAAGTGATATTGACCTTTTAATGATTGGTAAGACTGGCAATGGCAAGAGTGCACTTGGGAACTCGATCTTAAGACGCAAAGCCTTCGTCAGTAAATCTAGCTCCTCGTCTGTCACAAAAGACGTTGCTTACGAGTTCGGTGAGCACAACGGACGCAAGATCAAGGTTGTTGACGGACCTGGGGTTGGTGACACTCGTATGGACAATGAGAAGGCCATAAGCCTCGTGATGGGGGCCATGCAGTACGCCATATCAGCGAACCCAAGGGGTTATCACGCCTTTCTCCTGGTCGTTAAATTCGGTGGGAGGTTCACCGCAGAAGACCAGGATACCATCGGGTTCTTAAAGAAAATTTTCGGCGAAAGCTTTATCAAGAGTTATTGCATCCTTGTCATGACGTGTGGGGACAATTTTGAAAGCGAAAGTCAAGAATCGGGACAGAACTTTAAGCAGTGGTGTGATGAGCAGGACGGAGTCTTTCAGGAACTTTTACGAGAATGTAACAACAGGGTGATTTTGTTTGATAACAGGACCCAAGATGAGGCCAAGAAAGCTAAACAAATTTCCGAGCTCATCCAAATGGTCGATCATTTGAGCTCTAGCGGGCACCGCTACAATGACGATAATTTCGAGAAAGCCAAAGCTGTACGGGACAAGCTGATTATCGAAGCCAAAAAGCCAATGATAAAAGAAGATACCATGCAAGAAACTAGTCTCATTTTATACCAGCTGCAAGTCGTTCAAAACACAATCGAGCCCGAAGACAGGATTGTGTCTCTAGATGAGCTGTTCATCAGGGCCGAGCTACTGTATGAAACCATCTGGGAAAAGGATAATGGAACCGGGGCTCTCCATGATCTTGTTGAAACGGTTAAGTCTATTCAAAACACGATCGTCGATGAAATCAAATTCTCTCAGCGAATAACAGCAGAGAAGGAGAAGATGAGAAAACAAGAAGCGGAGAGGGAGAGAAAGTACAAGGAGGAACTGAAGCGACAGAGGGAAGAATATGAACTGCGCATCAAACAGGAGAGAATGGAGGACGAACGGAGGAAGGAGCTGCAAAGACAGCAAGAGAAGCAAATGAGAGAACTGCAGGAGCGAAGAAGAAAAGAGAGGGAAGAGGAAGAACGGCAACTGTACAAGGAGATGGAAAGAGAGAGGGAGAAACAGAGAAAAGAAGTAGAGGAGCTTGAGAGAAGATACAAGGCTGCTAAAGCCGAGAACGACGAAGGAATCTTCACAAAGGTCGTCAAGGCGGTCACGTGGCCTTTTCGAAAGCTTTTTGGTCTTGATTAGGAGGGAGGCAAAAGAATACCCGGAGACGTGAGCTAGAGGTAGACACGCAAAATATGGAATACACTGGAGACAACTGGAAACGAAAGCACAGGATCGTGATGAGGAGAAAATTCTTGTGGACGACCCATTCCCCAGACGGGGTAAAAAGGCATAAGAAGAAGAAGAAGATTTGCTATTTAAACATTCCTAGCTCTATCAAGTGTATTCCTGAAATAACTGGGTCTCGTATTTGAGCGAAGGTTTAATTTTGACAGTAAATTAATATTTACATAACATGAACAAATTTTTGTTCTAATAATAAACATGAATTTACACATTCTATTTGTATCATTTAAAAAAAAATAATGTTTACGCTAATATAATTAATTAATTTGGGTGTTGTCAGTTTATTTTTTATCATGAGAAGTGTTGACATGTCCCCTCGCCATTCCACCAGCAAACTCTTTGCGTTTTTTTTTTCAAATAAAAATTCCTGGCTTATCTATGCTAAATGCATTCAATGGTTACAGTTTCTTTTGTATTTCATCAAATGTATTTTTTATGTCCCTTTTGTTAATTCTGAAATATTTTAATGCCTAGATGACAAAGTGCGACTAAGTTGAGCATGATATTTCTAAGTTGAGCATAATGTTTCTGGCTTGTGTGTTCTATGTAGGCTTGGAATGCTGCCCTCTGTCATATAAACTATCTGGTCTGTGGTCGTTGTGAAAAAAATAAGTATGAAACAAATAAAGGAGTGTTTTATCTGAAAACCTTAATAAAAAGCAACAAAAAAATGTGAACAATGATAACTTAGTATTAAAGTCTTGAGAAGAAGTGATTAAAATCAAACCACGGAGCGTTATGACGAAAAAATGTGTTTGTTTGATTTTTCGTTTGATTGTCTGGTGGTCCTTATTCAGGCCTTCATCCACCTACTCTTTCAATCAACAACGCCTGACATCCATACGTCCGTCCCCGTGGCGGAGCAGTCCAATGTGAGGCCAGCCTCACCACTTTATTTCATCCAGACCTGACTAAAGATTTGTTTTCCATGATTGGAATCCCGGCTGGTGTAGATACTTTTCCACTTCTCCCAGCCATCTAAGACTAGGTCTGCCTTTCAGCCGCCTTCCTCTGGGGTTTTGGTGATGTACCCGCTTTACTCCTCTGTAATTGTTTCTAAGTGGCATGCCCCGCGCAGCCTGTCATTTAAAAAAAAAAATTCTGCTACTAGCGAGGGATCCTAATATAGTCTATCCAATTCATAGTTCTCCATCCATAACCATCATTCGTTGGCCCATGTGTTTTTCTTTGAAATGTTCGTTCCAATGTTTGTAATATATTTTATGCATTTTTCTTTTGGGGGGGGGGTGGGGGGGGGGGGATCCGAATTTCACTTGTCAATATTACTACTGGGCTAAAAATTATTATATATATATTTTTTGTTGTTGTTATTTGTTGTTATTTTCTAACTTTTGAGTATTATTTGAACACTGAAATATTTCTTGTTTCCAGTCGTTATTCTTTCTTTAATTCATTTCTTTCATTTTGAAGGACTCTAGGTATTTGAATCGATTCACTGTTTAAATAGTCTGGGTTCTAACTTGAATGGCTTCATCTGTTTCTTCGTCTCTTAAAATGTAATGCGATTGTTTTTTTTTTTTTTTTTTTTTTTTTTTTTNTTTGTTGTATACGTTTATGTTTTAGCTAATTTTTATGTGAAGCTCAGTGAGCCTATCATTTGGCTGGGTTACTGCGCTATATAAAGTCCATCTTATAATAATAATATTTATACTAATATGTCTTCTGAATATACAAGATACTAAAGGTTGTTTCTTTTTTTTTTTGTAGAGGGTGTCTTTTGGTTGTGGGTCTTGAGTTTCTCTAGTAAATCATACTGTTATTGTTCGTTAGGTGTCACTGTATATGTTTCTTCTAGCTCTCTCTAATGTTAAGTTCAATGCATAGGAGACATTGAGTTTCCCTGTCTCAGGCCTCTTCTAATCTGAGATTCTCTTGAACATTAAAAAAAAAAGGTATGTGTATCATTCATGTAAAGTTAGGTGTATTCCAAAGTCCAGCAGAGTCCCATTTATATATTTCATGGTCATGTTGTCACATGCCATTTTATAATCCACATAAATTTGGTGCACCAGGATATTATATTCGCAACATTTCTCCAGTAGTCATCTGATGTTGAAAATCTGTTCAGTCATTAACCTGTTTTTTTTTCTGACTCCACATTGTTAGTGTTTGTCGAGTGTATAATTGTAATCTTTAGGCAGTTATTTTTTAAAAAGTATTTTTATGTAACATTTTATATGGACATTTCTCTGTAGTTTGTGCAATGAAATTTGGAAACTTTCTTGTGTATTCAGAATG